ATGTAATCTACTGCAGGCAGCTGGTTATGAGTTGGTCTGTGTAACAGCCATACCGGAAAAATTTGTCCAAGCTCGACTAGAAAATTTGCAGAAACATGGGTTTCCAATTGATCGTGTTATTGGAAAACCCGCACATTTGACATACGAAAACCTGCCGACAAACCACGGGGCGGTTGAAGATTTTGTCAATCCGAAGAAGGAGATCATTGAACGACTGAGACCAGTAGCATTCGTTGATGATCAGAGAAGAAATTTTAAGGATATTGAGTGTGATGATACCATATTTGTGTATATTGATGGTGAACATACCGATGATCATCCAAATTTCAATGATGATACGGCTTATCATGTCAAATATGGCAGTTTAATCGAATTTGTCAAAGACTTTTTGCGACATGACAATAAAATGTTGAGTTAAATAAATTTTTAAAATCGTTTTCTTTATATAAAATCTAACATTTCTAGACCTGATGTTATATTGATCTAAATAGTTCCACACTTTTAACCTCAGTGGTAATCAAACTGTTGGAACTCTTTCTCTCATAATCTCAGCTGGAAAATACATATTCGGCGAACAAAAAGTTATTGCCATCGTGTGTTGGAAATGCTGTTAATTCAGCATCATCAGAAAATCAATTTATAACTTTCAAATTTAGACAATAAGTTATTCCTATCGTGTGTTTGAAATGACGATACGTTTTTCCTGAGTACATCTCGATGTGCTCGAGCGATTGGCGCAAGAATTCGCGTTCCATTTAAAGAATAAAAATTCTATAGAAATTTTAAAAAATGGACAAAAAACCACGCATTCTTCCTGATTTCTTACAGTTATCCCTATTAGTTAGAATCAGTATAAATTTTAACTTTTTATGTTTTCGAGAACTTAAAACGTCGTTTAAGCAAGTACAAGATAGTATTCGCAAAAAGTTCACTTATTCATAATAGCCTAATGGAAATCATCATATTTACAATTAGTACCTTACACTTTCGCTATGTACATTTTGCGACATATCATACTATTCTCCTATATTCTTGCAAGCTCCTCTTATTGAATGACATTTTGTTCAACATTTAATTCTAAAGAGCGACCTGGTTTCAAATCAACAAGCTGTTCAGATCTGTTCAAATATATCTTAAATTCGTTTACTCAATTACTATTAGCTGAGAAAAGTATATTTTATTCCATTCCCCATTGCGATGTAAACGAAATTTGTTATTTTTATCAAACATTCTCCGTCGATTGGGGTTGTTTTTGTTGATATATAAGGGTTTATACCACCTACAAAAACGGAAAGTTAGCCGATCGCATGGATCAGTTGGAAAATACAATATTTGCTATGTCACAAAAACAGTTCTACACGACACACTGTTTTTCCTCGATGACACACGTTCAACAAAGAATGTTTGATGAGAATAATAATTTTTGTGTTTTTTACGACACTCTGTAATGTAGCCCGTTGTGATATAAACGAAATTT